TGGCCCCCAGAACTGCATGAACCAGGTGTGGTGTGGGGGATGCAAGTTTGTCACACCAGTAATGGGGAGGTAGAGGCAAGAGGGTTAGAAGCTGAGGGTAAGGTACGTAAGACGCGTCTCAAAAGAAAACCGCACAATGCAGGCATCCCCAATCTTTGTCTTTGATGTAGATGGGAACTCTGGGGAAAGCTATTTACCAAAACCGGAAAGAAAAGTCATCAGTGAGAGAAGGAAACACAGATGTGGGCTTCTCAAAGAAGAGTCACAACATATTGAAAGGTGCTTCAAACACGGATTTTAAGCATAGATTTTTAAGTTAAGAGAAATACTGATGCTTAGGGAAAGAGTAGGATGTATCCAAGTGTGGTTATGGGATTCTCAAGGGAGAGTCACACTTAAGTGTTAGCCATATGACATTTCGGTGGCTCTTAAGTTACTTCTCAGACAGATAGTAAGAACATACTTCCCCCCTTTCCTTCTCTTTTTGCTAAGTGAGATTAGAGGGGGCTCGGGGAGTACTGTGGATGGGACTGTAACCCAGTAAGGTAAAACCAGGAGCCCCCAGGGTTTCTTAAGGTGTGAGAGCAAACATACATGTTACTGTAAATGGGGCTTCCGGTGACACTCCTAGATAACTATAGATTTGCAGCCAGCAGGGAGAAAGACTTCCAGTTAATTCTCAGCCTGGAATCCTTGATTCTCACGTGCAGAGGCTTCAGCCCGACCCTGGCGAGGGACGCCTTTCCTTCCACAGCTCCATTATTACTCTTGTCCTCCTCCTTTCTCTCAAATACTCCTCCTTCCTTCTCTGCCTCCCTCTGTCTGTCCTTGTCCTTCTCTTTCTTCCCTCCTCCTTTCCCCCTTTCCTCTTCCACTCTCCCTCTCCCGAGTTTTTATTTATTTACTGTTGATGTTTATAGGCGACTGGAGTCGCCTCTAGTTAACGGACTTGACTCATTTTCCCTATTGGATTATCTTTTTCTTATTGACCCCTAGAACTTCCTTATATACTCAAAATGTTAGCATTTTGTTCAGTTACGTGTGCTACAGATATTTTATAATTCACAACTTGTCCTTTTTTACCCTTTTAGTATAATCTTGGGTGTATAACCCAAATAGAGGACACGGACTCTCCTACATGCCTTCTGATTTTCTGTGGCGAAATCTATTCTTGACCAAAGAGTAGAGAAACTGGGAGTCTCGGTACTGCCAAGGCAGGGTAAGCAGTGCAAATTTCCACACAAACAGCACACTTTTGGAAGGTGTATACCCTTTTATTTAACTACTTCACTTTCAGGTAATTATATTTAGGAAACAATCGTCATGAAACTCATTACATTAATCACAGTCAGATAATATCTTATAGAGTCTGTCAAGCTACTTACTCATCTACAAGAGCTTGTTCAGCACTGTTTCTCTGAGTCCAGTAGTTATGGGCATGAAAAAATTTCTGTGATTATATTGTTTAGTAAACTGTTAACACAGAGTAGGATTACATATTGTTTTTGAATTTAAGAAAATTCACAAATGTCACTCACACATACCCAGAAAGGAGCCTGTAAGGCAATTTATACAACATTTAGCTAGTTACCTTGGCATAGTGAGATGCATTTAACTTTTTTTCTCTTTCTAAGTTTCTGTCTAAATTATTTTGCATGTGTTATTTCTGCATCCCAGTTGGCTTTTGAGAGAAATTATGTGGAATGTGCTGAGACAAGCCCCTCATTCAGGAGACCTCCTGGGACATGACATTTATAGTCTATTTGGCTCCAAAGTTGCCTTAAACAGATTCTTAAGGCAGTACCTTGGACTCTGGAGATCCTCCATGGAGGGCCTCACCCTTCCTGGGGATCGGAGTGGAGACTGGGTAGGGGGCTGGTTGGGGGGAGAGGAGAGGCTGGGAGGGAGAAGTAACTGGGATTGACATGTGAAGCAAGCTTGTTTCTAACTTAAATTAAAAAGAAGAAGAAGAACAAGAACAACAAGAAGAGGAAGAACAAGAACAAGAAGAAGAAGAAGGAAGAGGAGGAGAAGAGGAAGAGGAGGAGGAAAAAGAAGAGGAAGAAGAAAAAGACAATATCTTGACTCAAATAAATTCCAGCAGATTCTAGGCACATTTGCAGTTTAGAATTGGGAGTGTATGACCTCCCTCTACCTCCATCCCACTCCTCATGTGAGTGAGCTTGACTGCAAATATTGCCAGAGAGTGGATATCAGAACATCAGAATAATTTATCAACAATAAATATAGCAATACCAATTTCTAGAATGTTCTAGAAGGCAATGTTCCCTGAATAATGTAAAAGATCAACGACCTGCCCCAAGAGATGCTTAAGTGCCACCTGCCATGATGTTTTATACATCACAAACTTCATGTTTCTAGTTAAAAAACATTAGTTGGCTAAATTCAATCCTGATTAAAAAATAACTTTAGTTTCAATGAGTGAAAATGGAGGGGTCAGTTAGTTTCCCTGTGATACAGCCTGTGTCCCCTTCTTGTCCTGTACTTTCTCTGGTAGGATACTAGCATTAAGCCCTAGTTGAGAATCAGGATGGTTTTGATCTAGCATTGATGTAAAGATTTGATTTTCTCTTGGCTATGTTTAAAAACAGTATTTTATTAATTATATGAGAATTTTGAATATATTCGCCCCAACTCTTCCCACAACTATCCTATCCACACCCCCTCTCCTCCCACCAGACTTTGAGTTTTCTTCCCCTACACCATTAAGCCCGGTTTGTGTTATCAACTAGTCTTGGTAGCGGAGCCAGCCCTAGCACATGGTTGACCTACCAAGGGTCACATAATTAAAGAAAATGGATTCTCCTCCTAGCAGCTATCAAATGTCAACAGCCCTCAGTTGGTGGTGAGATTTTATGCCTACTCTCCACTCATCCCCTGGGTTTTTCTTTGGCTTGAAATGTTCAGGTTGTGTGCATGCTATCACAATCACTGTGAGTTCAAATGCACAACTGCACTGTTGTATCTGGAAAACCCCGTTTCACTGATGTTAGTCATCATCTCTGGCTCTCACAATCTTTGTGCCTCCTCTCCCCTGAAGACCCCAGAGCCTTGCTGGGAGAGGTGTGAGATGTAAGTCCTTTCAGAGCAGAGCATTCTGTAGTCTCTTAGTCTCTACACATTGAGCAGTTGAGGGTCTCTGTTAACAGTCACCCACTGCAAGGAGAAACCTTTTTTCTGATGAGAGTGGAGAGATGTTCTGATCTATAGATATAGCACTAAAGTAATAAGAGCTGTTTTAGTACTATGTCCACCTAGCAGATTGGTAACATTAGGCATTCTCCAGAGCCTATGATCTATCTAGCCACAGGGTCTTTCCCTCCTTAACAGTGCCAGGGATGGGATCCAGTCAGATTCAACGTCTTAGATCCAATCATAAGGTGATTGCTTACTTCTGTAACATTGGTGACTCTACTGCACCTGTGGGTGTGGGTGCATCTTGTCAGAGCAGCTGTGGTTTGCAGGGTTCACTGTTTGGCAAAATTAACGAGTGCTTTTCTCCTCCAGTAGTGTGCATAGCACCTTCTAGAACTCTGAAAACTGGCTAGCGGGGATGAGGCTACCAGCTAATCTCTCCACATCCTGTGACTCAAGTATGTGGAGTCTTCAGCAATAGGGTGATTGTTTTTATTTTTATTTTTTTATGAAACAGTGTGTAAGAGAGCAATAGTTTTGTTTCCATCTGAACCATCCTCCACACAACTCACATGTTAATAATTGCCAGCTGAGAGCATGCAGGGAATGATAAATGGGTCCCTTACATTTCCCAGTAACTCTAATATTGTATGAGTCAATAAATGGCTTTTATTTACCAAAGCAAATCATATAATCCTGATGGTCACCCAGTTTTCGATTGTCATGACTTCACATTTGTGAGACTTAAAGTTGATTTGTACAAGTCATTTAAAAATGATTTCTCAATATGCTTTTAACTACCAGGGTGCAGCCAATTAGTTTGAAAGCATCTTAGCATCATTTTCACACAAATAAAAATGACCTTAATGTAAAATAACTACAAAGTTCTTGCTTTGCTAATTCTCATTAGGATGTTGTGTGCAGGAGCAACCTAGTGTCTAACTAATTTGCAATGAGAGAGACAAGAAGATGAAGTGGGTTTTATGACTAGCTCACAATTTTTCTGATGTTTTTATTAACAATTTGGAAGCAAAAGTGTTAGGCATAACTACAATTTGATATCATTGCTTTTATTTACTAATTCTAGTTGCTGCTTTATAAAAGCATTTTTTATAATACATTTATGTTCCTTTGATTGTACCTTAAAGACAGATCCCAAAGTTTGCTTTAGTCATCTGTTAAATCAGTTGGATGAGAGCCGGTAAGATGACTTATTGCCTTAAAGTTCTTTTTTTTTTTTTTTTTTTTTTTTTTGGTTTTTCGAGACAGGGTTTCTCTATATTGTTTTGGAGGCTGTCCTGGAACTACTCTGTAGACCAGGCTGGCCTCGAACTCACAGAGATCCGCCTGCCTCTGCCTCCCGAGTGCTGGGATTAAAGGCGTGTGCCACCACCACCCGGCTCTATATGCTGCCTGATAGATTTATTTTTAGCTTTAAAGTTTCAGAAGCTGGTCATGAAGGCATGGAAACAATATCCAAAACAGAACACTTACCTGAAGTGTTTATCTAATTATTTTTTATCAATAAATATTTGCGAGTCAGTTGTTGGTGGTAAGAACCTAAAGGATCTGGGAAGCACTGGAGCCCCCGCCAAAGGCCTACTATGTCTTCCATTCCTTCCTCCATCCAAAAGACTGACATCCTCTCCCAGCCCCGCCTTACTACTTCCTGTCTCCTATCTGTCCTCAGTCCTCCAAAACCTCTATGGTTATTTCTGGTCGGCTTGGCTCTCTGACTCCAAGAAAGCTCATTGTCAGACTATGATCAAAATATCACACAATACTGACGTCATACAAAAGGGACTGTAAGTAAAAGGCTGTCATAACCGACAGGTGCAGTGGAGTGTGCCATAATCCTACCTCTGCCGGACGCTATGTCGCAGAAACTGGAGACCAGCTTGTGTAACACTGCGAGATCTTCTTTCAAAGACAGGAGAATAACAGAAAAGGCCTGACAACAGTAGAGTACAGGTACCTGGGAACATTTTCCATAGACGTCTCAACAAATTAAGAAAAGTCGAAATCTCTTCTTCTTCTTTCTTCTTCTTCCTTCTTCTTCTTCTTCCTTCTTCTTTCTTCTTCTTCTTCTTCTTCTTCTTCTTCTTCTTCTTCTTCTTCTTCTTCTTCTTCTTCTTCTTCTTCTTCTTCTTCTTCTTCTTCTTCTTCTTCTTCTTCTTCTTCTTCCTCCTCCTCCTCCTCCTCCTCCTCCTCCTCCTCCTCCTCCTCCTTCTTCTTCTTCTTCGACAGGGTTTCTCTGTATTGCTTTGGAGGCTGTCCTAGAACTCGATATGTAGATCAGGCTGGCTTTGAACTCACAAAGATCCTCCCACTTCTGCCTCCCGAGTGCTGGAATTAAAGGCGTGCAGCACCAACGCCTAGCTGAAAAGTCGAAATCTTATCAACTTTCTTTTTCTCTTTACAGTGAAACTAAAAATTGTAACTAGAGGAGAACTGAAAATTTCACAAAAACGTGGAAATTAGGCACACAAGACTTACAGTGACTGAATTGGGCAGAGGAGAATAAAAGTTATTTAGACAAGTAAAAGTAGAAACATCACCTTCTAAAATATTTTTTTTAAGACAGGGCCTCACTATGTAACTCTAGTTATCCTGGGACTCACTCTGTAGACCAGGCTGGCCTTGAACTCACAGAGATCCATCTTCCTCTGCCTCCCAAACGCTAGGATTAAAGGTGTGAACCACCATGCCTGCCTTACCTTCTAAAATCTTAAAGGCTGTGGTAAAAGGAACCCAAGGAAGATTTTATAGTCATGAATTTGTAAGAAAAATGGATGAAAAACGGGGGAGCTAACTTTACAGCAGAAAGGTCTAGAAGAATAGACCACACATGATTTCAAACCTGGTTCCACCTCCTAAAGGCTCCACTGCAGCCTAGTTACACCACAGGATGGCGACTGAGCATTTGGTACACTACCTTTGGGACAGAGATCAGGTCTAAATGATAGCAGTTCACACGAATTAAAACAGAGAACCTTTGCAATTTTGCTTCTCCTGTATCCTGGAAGGAGGCATGGAGTGGAATATACGTGCACTGCTACATCTGTTTAGTCATAAGCAGAGGTCCCCACTTTTAGTACACAGTTTGGAATATTGAAAAGCGCATTGTAATCATACAATAACCACCAAAATCAAGACAAAACCATTTGTATCATCCTCCAAAGTCTTTCCTAGTCCTTAGCTCCTTGCAACCTTGCTCCTGTAGTTTCAGAGTTTCTAAGATGTCATAGAGATGAAATCAGACTATGTAATGTGCTAAGTCAGGTTTCTTTTACTCAAAATAATGCATTTGGGATTCACCTGTGTTGTATGGGCCAGTGTCTGGTTCTTATTATTGCTGAGTGGGGGGAAGGAAAATGTCTAGGTTCACTTTAACTTTAATTATACAGAGCATAACATGGGGAGGGGAAAGGCAACTAACCAATTAACAACTGTGGGAAAGACTACACCACACATCTAAGTATATTTTGAATCCTTGACTTTAAGGCTCATCGCAGCTGACCTAGTTCATGAGTAAGTTTTCTGAATGTTGACTATAACCAATCCAGAAGCAACAAAAACTTCTTATGGACTGCTCTCCTATCCTGAGACTTCCCGACTTTGTGTGGGCCTGATACTCTCAGCTATGGGCCAATATATGTTTTGACTTCATTCTTAAAATTCTTGTTAAAAATGTGTTGCCAGTTCTGGTCCAGGGGACATGTTCTAAGTGCTACCTTGCTTTATTGTTGGTAGTGGTGGGACTTGTCCTAGGACCCAGTACTTTCTTTCTGATTAGCATCTCTATTGTTTCAATAGAATCTTTTAGAGAACTCAGAGTCTCAAGAATCATAACACTAGTAGTCCATTGCTTGGATAGGAGACTGGAATATATATTAATGTGAAATAAGACTCTTTGGCTTGAGGATAAACTTGAGCTCATTATTTTTGAGAGACTGACAAAAGAAGAATCTCTGAAGAGTACAAGTTGTGGTTGAATCAGGAAAATTCACATATATTAAAACATCTTCATTTGTGAGGGTGTCTCCTATAGCTTTGTGTAAAAGAAAGAGAAGGATGACTTACATCACTAGAGCCGATTAAGACTTAAGAGGTCTCATATCCATATGTTAAACCTACAAGTGTACAAATCAAACGCTATGTCAGTTACTTTTCTGTGTCTGTGACAAAGCACCAGGGCCAAGGCAAGTGACAGAGCAAAGAGTGTATATGCGTTTGCAGCTCCAGTGCATGACAGCGTCATGGCAGAGGAGAGCCACGGCAGGTGGCAGGCGTGGCAGCAGGAACCCGATGCTGAGAGCTCACATCTTGAAGAGCAAGTTTGAAACGGCAAAAGTGAGCAGGAAATGCTGTGAGACCCTCCAAGTCCTCCACCAGTTGCCTGCCTCATCCTGCCAGGCTCCACCACCCAAAGATGTCACAACCTCCCCAACAGAGCTACCGGCTGGGGACCGAGTGTTCAGATGTCCCAGGGTGCGGGGGACAGTTCTCATTCAAACCACCACACCTGCTCATCTTGGTCACCTCCGTACTCCTGTACACCTTCTTCCTTTGGCTTGCCTGAATATGGCATTACAATGAGACTCAGAGAACCAACTTGGAAATTCACTTATTATTCCCTGGCTGTCTGTCCATCTGTGGATCGACTCCCACTTTTGATGGTCTGGCTTGGGTTTTACCAGTTTTATGTTGGTGAAAACACGCTATGTGTTTGGTAGAGATTGTGTATTTTGCATTTGATATTTTCCAAAGCGGGTGGTATGAAGATCAGAGTAGTAGAAGCGAGCTGCAGCTTCCCCTTAGTGCCACAATCACAACAGTGCAAACAGCCAACACCTCACAGTACCCAGCACTGGGCGTGGCTAAGTTGCCACGCCCAGTGAGCGAGGCGTTCATATTTTGACCTAGGATTTATTTGCCTTAGGATGTGTTTATTGGTGTGTAATGCCACTGGAAGTGAAGGAGCCTTTGCCTGTGTATCTATGAGCTGTTGAGCCTTGGCTTGCTTTTCTCTTGTTAATTGCTACAAAGAATGCAAATATTGCTGAACCTAAATCCAACTGCTCACTGCTTGAAAGTCAGTCCTAGGGAGTTGGTAGTTGGTGGGAGGGAGGTCAGGTTTATCCAACGGCTGACGTACTTAGAAATAAGGAGGGTGTTAGTGTCCCCCAAGAGCACTGCCATGGGGAATTCATGCGGAGAAGAGGATTTTTTTTTTTTGGAGAGAGGGGAAAGAAATGAAATGAGATGACAGATGGAACACACCCCACCATTCAAGGCGAGGTTCTTACTTTGTGGTTCTTTGGAATTTAGCAGACACTTTCGCATCAAGTGACAAGGCTAGCCCATTTTGTCTGTTCTAAAGAGGAACTATATACATTTACATTAAGAAGATCATCCAGTTAGATAGGTACTTGTGAGGATTTCACTGGGGCCTTGCTGGGTGCTACACGCGCCGATCCTTCAGCAGAACCAATTTAACCTGCAAGCCTGGCTTTCCTTCCCCCCTCCTGCCCCCAGACAGAGATAGAGCCATTTTATGCATGAGGATGAGTGACAGTCCTTATATTCTTAGTGTGTTCTTTTATAAAGTGCCTTACAAGGTTATTTTAATTCACCGAATTCTTCAAACCCTGTGATGCAGGCATCTCACCTGCACTTAATAGGTTTGAGAAATCCTATTTAGAGAGGTCGTGCTATCTGCCTTCAGTCTCCCAACGTGATGGATCTGGAATTCAAACGGGGCTGTTTCTGATGGCCGAGCCCCCTGTTCCCCAGATGACTGTTAACGCTTTTGACTAGTAAAGCAGATGACGAGGGGAAGAGAGCTCTTCCTTAAAGGGGAGAAGAGAAGGCTAAAGGGTGCCGAAGAAGACGAGAGCAAGTGAGCAGAAAGATTAGTGTGGAATTAGACGACTCAGGACGCCAAAGGGTGAGCGCATTCTGTCCAAACAGCCCTGGAAGAGGGAAGAGGCGGAGACCAGGAGGCGCATGAGCGCGTTTCTCTTTCTCACCACTAGGTGACACCGTTTACACCTCACCCGCCGAAGGAGGAGGCGAAGCGGCAGTGATGGGGATAGGATGCTGGGAAGCAGGAAGTAAGACACCCCGGAAAGTTAGGGACAAATCTGCCCGTCGCCTCCACAGTGGGCACAGGGAGCAGTGAAAACTGATGCCAATCACCCTGCTTTGTGAGAAAGGAATCCAAAGGGCAAGGACCAGCCAGGCACCTGTTTTCATCTTCGTGTAACTCATTAACATGGTCTCCCAAATACCATGATGTCAGCATAGGGACTGAGCAGCGACTCCTCAGGTTTGGAGGCTGTCTCTGCTGCCAGTCACCTGCTAAGCCTTCTGAGCCCCGAGGTGGGCTTCCTTCTATATGAAAGGAGAGAGCAGAGTCTGCCTTCTAGATGTCTTACGACGAGGGTGGAGGGAAGCGCCACGAGTATAGGCCCCAAGTAGTGCCCTGTCCACGTTTTTGGTAAACACAGTGTTATGCTGTAATTAGGTGAGAAATCAAAACTAAAGCAGTAAAATTAAAAGCTCAAAGAATAAGATCTCTTCTACTTTTGTCGAGTGCACAGTGCAACACAGTGCGTTGCCTTGGAGCTCCTGCCGGTGCCTTGAATTTTAGTAGACCGCTCTATCTTTGCATAGTTTGTGTACTAGCTACATGCCTTATTCAGAATTGACTCAAGACGACGACATTTATCATGGATACCGTATCAGCTCCCTCCTGAATTTTTGTGCCTACAGTCATTTTCTTCCGCTGCTGTCCTCTTCTGGATGGCTCCCTCTGCCCCATGTTTTCAGTATTCTAATTTTGCTCTTTAGCTGCTCAGACTCACACTCTAGGAAGTGACCCAGGATGCCTTTGTCTACTGTCTTCCCAACCCAAACTCAGCGCGGTTCCTTCCTGGTCTTGCGCCAAAGACACCCAAACCCGAGTGAAGTCATTCCTTCGGTCCCAGGCATGGGAGGTTGGATGCGCCTAACTGTAAACGTGCTGAGAGAGATGTTCCTATAGTCCCCAGGGACACGCACATTTTGGAAAGACTTGTTGGTTGAGGTAAATTGGCAGGCGATGGAGTTTCTTGTCACACAAGATAATGAAAAGCCTTGAGCCACGTGGAGGACACAGATGCTGGGACTTAAGTAAGCAGTTAAGTCACTACCAAAGGCAGGGTTGGTTGAACACCACCAAGAACTCTGGGATTTCCATTGGCTGAGTACTTTTTTCTTCATTTTACAAACCAGCATCACTGCACCCAGGAAAATTCACTGCTTACACATTGTTTCCATTTTACCATCTTTCAATATTGTTAGTGTGGCCAAGACTCTGGAGACTTTCCCATAGGCAATCTGTCCCCCCCCCCGTAGCAATAAGACGTCTACTTTTAAGGCCACCATAACAAGGCTGTATCCCTCAACTTTCCTTTCCTTACAGCTAGGAATAGCCATGTGTTTCTATGTGGGCAGAAGGGTGGGAGCAGGCACATGTTTGTACCTTCAGGGAAACCCTTAAGAGTGCCACCGTCCCATGACAATTGAGAATGCACACAAAATGCACCTCCAGCTCACTAAGGCAGCGAGGCAGCGCTTTGTTTTGTTGTGGTCGATGTGTGTAGCACTCCACTTTGATCTTGCTGCAGCCCATCTTTTACCTAGACGTCCCGGGAGGTCTGGCAATAGACCGTAGGCAGAGCTAGATGGTAGAACGGGAGAAGAGGCGAGGGGTATGTGCAGGTGATCTTCAAGGAAAGTTTCCTGGAATCAACCACAGGGCAGTTTTGTGACCATCTCCCTAGCCATTGTTTAGGTCCATGGTTACCCAAAAGCAGGGCTTCCGATATGAAGGAAGAAGCAAAGGAGAAACGATACATTAGGTAGCTAGAAATTCCTACTAACCCAGTCCTCTCTCAGCTTCCATTCCCAGAAGATCTATAGTGAGCTCTAGAGCATCAGGACCTCCGCTGTGTCGTGTAGTTGCCTTGACAACTGGGCAGACCTGGGTTTTACTTCAGCTCCAGAAGTAGAGCTGCCTTGTTAGTTAGTGGCGGAGAAGTCTGGTTCCCTAGGTCTGTTTAAACACTTAAATCAATCATTTTCTACACGCAAAAGTTGCTGAAACTAATAACTGACCAAGTAATGAGTTCCACAATGAATTAACCTCATTAGAACAATGTTAATTAAATATGTTTTTATACATGTGTTGTACACATATTACCGACATTTCAGTTTGTCAGGATGGTCTACGTCCCAGGGTTATGTGTTGTGGGGAAGGTGGGTGTGTGGGGTAACCAAGGGGTGGAGTGGAAAGGGTTTCACCATTTGCTTACTCAGCACTTCTCCTCTTCTCTTTTCCCTAACAATTCCCCTTCGACCATTCAGAGAAGGAGCCTACCCCTTTGTGTTGCAGTGACACGGACTGGACATGGTTGCTTAGAAAATGCTCAGACAATCCCACACCCTTCGCAGTGATTGGGCCAGGCCTATACTATTCAGTAATCTGATTATATTGTCACTTCCAGAGCTTCCAGGTTGGTCCCCAGGGCGTCTAACAAACTGATAATTCTCATTGGGCATATTGACAGGGTCTCACTTGCCTGTCTTCCTGCTTCCTCCCCTTTCTTCCCACTCAGTCATCTTTTAGCAGGAGCAGATGCAGCCTTGGAAGTCGTCTGGCTCTTGAAGGACAGTGCATGAGAGAGAACAGAGCCGGCATCTCAATGAAATAATTTCTAGAGCCTACGTCACTGCAGGCCTTGCATCTTAATCAGACACCGAGTACTTTCCACTGCTTGACTTGAGGGGTCTTATTTTAAACTATGCGTAAGTGAATAGAGAGAAATGTACCACACACAGACTTTAAATGAGATGGCAATCGGGGAATCAAGCCACATATGAGGCCTTGGGTACAGGAATAGTCCAAATGCTTCTTACATCAGAGGCTCCACATCCAGGAGGAGTCTCTCTTTAACATAACATAATAAACAACAATATCCCTAAAGCCTGATCATTGGAGGGCCAGCGCAGACTCCTCGGGGAGCCAGAGGTTGTGACTAGCTTCATTTGCATGCTGGGATGTCTGGCTACTAATGTGTTGTGTTTGTTAAAGGTGCCCAGAGAGTAAAGAGCTGGCCAATAAAGGAGAAACAGTTGATAAAGAACCCTTAGCTGCAGGAGAGATATAAAATCAAGAATATAGGCTTCCTGACCAGACCTGGCTTTATATATTGGCTCTACTACTTTCTGATACGATGAGCCTCATCCATTTATAGAAGAGAAAAACGGCGATGCCTTCCTTGAGATGGTGACAAATATTCAAGGCTGTATTTTATGTAACTTCTAGGATACAAGCTCAATGAATCAGACATGTTGGTTATTATTACGACTTGGCGAGACAGCTGGCGGGTTCTTGCCTGGTTTTGTGAAAGCTGGGTGAGCCGCCAGACTCTGTGGCATTGGTAAGCAGCCTCTTCTGTGTGCAATGATCACATGGTGGCTCACCTTTGATTATCAGTAAATTTTGAGCTATCTGGTCAACCTTTAGACAAGAGGGAAAATGCACTTAATTAATTTCAATATCTGTA